ATTTCGTTTCGTTCCTTCGACCGTGGGCAGCGCCCAAACGCTGAGGCGTCTCGCTGCGGAGAAGTTCTGCAAGAACCCTTGCGCAGAGGTCGAAGTCGTGATTGGTCGTGTCGAACGAGAACGCTCCACCAAGGCTGCTGAGGGTGTACTCCCCGTCAAGAAATCGAAGCTGTTGACGTCAACAGGGAGTGAGCAGCAACCAGGGTAAGGATAATAGCACAACTGTACCTCAGGGAAACGGTTGCGCTCGCCAACTAACATCTCGAGGTAAGCCGGTAAGCGGAAGCGGCGGTGACGAAACACGAGAAGAACCCACTCCAGCTCGGTGTCGTGTAGGGCGATGCTCCACACCCGGTCGTTCTGCTCGGGGACTACGGGCCGCACCACAATCCCCAGATTCTGCAACACAGCGGTGGATAGCTTGCGTTGCGTCCCGAAGGTGTCGGGCGAGTGGAGCGCGGCCTCCTCCTCCTCCTCCTCCTCAGCGTTGCCGATCAAAGAGCTCCGCGCTTTCTTTTGGCTCTGACGGGCGGAGGCCGCTTGAGGAAGAACGACTCCTGCAGCAGCCCTGCATCTTTCGAGAAAGGGAGTCCAATCTCCAGACAATTCCTGCAAACGCACTTTTGTAGTAGAGCTTAGACAGACAGCTGGAGGAAATGGCCTGTAAGAACTAGTACCTGGGGGGACCAGAAGATACTTCTTGCCCCGCCTGAGAACGGAAGGAACTTCACTGGTAGCAAGATCCACAACGAGGTGATCTGGGAAGGCCATTTTGAAATCTGCGAACTTGGAGCCTGCCGCAAATTGGAGAGAGACAAGCTCTCCACTCTCGAGTACGAGCCGTGGCGGATCCATCGTGGAATCTGATCGAAGGTAGGAAACCCTTCGCCTGTATTTGGCGCCAAAGACAGGTGCCCAAATTCTCTGAATACCTCGCTTTGGTATGGGCGGCGTTGTGTGAGAACAAAATAGCGCGTCCTCTTGTTCAACAGGCGGCGAAAAAGACCACAACGGAAGAAGACCTACAGGCCGAGGAGGCGGAAGAAGCCGGAGAGGCCGCCAGCGAAGGTGAAGGAGCCGTAGAGGGCCAGCGACAGCAGCGCGAGGAGCGCAAGGTCCACAATCAGCACACCACCAGTGCGGCCCCGCGAACCTGCCAACGACCATGCATCCGGTAAACAACATGACGCACACACCGCACACACTGCACACAGACGACACTTACCAGAGGAGCGGTAGCCGAGGCCATAGATGAAGCGACCGACGATGTAGACAAACCCAAGGAGGGCCGCGTAGCGCGCAAAGAACAGACCCGGCAGCGAGCAGCGCGTGACGTCAGCATTTATTTATTTTGTTATTTTATTATAAATATAATATTTGACTTGATTTGATTATTTATGTTTCTTTCACGTCTTCGCTGCGCGTAGGGAGGGTACCCTCGGTGACAAGAACGAGGGCGATGCCCTCCAGGTAGTTGTAGTGGGCGCGCTGGGCGTCACCGCAGGACAGAACTGGTCTCAGGCACACGTGAAACCACCGCTTCCTGAGGTGGCGGGCAGGCGCGAGTTTCACGCCAAATAAGGAAGTTCGCATAAGGCCCTCCTTCTGTTAGTGGGGGCAAAAAGTGCATGTCCATTCATTAGGGGAAGCTCCTCTTTTCCAATAGAGGTGCTTACAGGTAGAGGTGGTTGGCAACACTCCATATCTTAGGGTTAGGGTCTCAGAAATCTGGTTAAACCAAGGTCGCATCACAGTGATTTGCCGGTCATTTGCTTTTTGGTCGCACGACGGGTCGCACAAACGGTCGCAGCCGCAATTTGACGTTGTCGCGACTGCAATTTGAACTGAATAAAGTTATATTAACACTCTTTATTTATTTGATTTGTTGCCCACGAGAAGAAGAGAGACGATTGAGGATGCGTCGCAGTCCAGAAGGCAGAATAGTAAAGCGCAAGCGGAGGGCTGCGGACAACGACAGCGAAGGTGAAGCAGAGGAGGCCGAACAGCACCTGTGCGCCCAGTGCAAGTCAGCGTTCCCATCAATCAAGAGGCTCAACGAGCACAACAAGAGGGCGCATGCACCGGTCAGCAACCGTACCTGCCCATTCTGCAACCAGATCTTCTCCAATGCTGGCTCCCTGCCGCGGCACACAGCAATCTGCCGACAGCGCCCCGAGGCAAGCATCTCCTGCATCATGCCGGCCAGCAACGTCCCCCCCAGCGCGACAAGCCCCCACACTAAAGCCAAGTCTGGGAAGAGAAGTTTTGCTGCAGTCGAGCGGTTTCTTGAGCGGCTCGTTGACTTCCTCCAGGCTGGCGACTTCACGTACTCCTCCGAATCCCGTCTCACGCCCCTTGCCCCTTCCACGATCACCAGCTACAAGTCCTTTATTCACAAGTACCTCGAGGCTGTGGTGCAAGGGCTTGTCTCAGGCCATGGTGACGGTACGGCGCCCACTCACACCATTTATTCTATGGCTTGCACGCCATGCCACGGCACACCACAGCACGCCACGCCACGCCACGCCACGCCACGCCACGGCACGGCACGGCACGGCACACCACGCCACGCCACAGCATGGCACGCCACGCCACAGCACGGCACAGCACAGCATGGAACGGCATGGCACACCACGGCACGCCAAGCCACGGCACGCCACGCCACGGCACGCCACAGCACGCCACGCCCACGCCCACGCCCACGCCCACGCCCACGCCCACGCCCACGCCCACGCCCACGCCCACGCCCACGCCCACGGCACGGCACGGCACGGCACGCCACAGCACGGCACGGCACGGCATGGAACGGCATGGCACACCACGCCACGCCAAGCCACGGCACGCCACGCCACGGCACGCCACGGCACGCCACAGCACGCCACACCACGCCACGCCACGCCACGCCACACTTCATGTGTGCCACGCTCTACGTGCGCCACGCTCCACGCGCACCACACTCCACGCACGCCATGCGGCAGTGTGGCGTGGTGCATGTTTTGCGTGGTGTGGCATGCATGGTGTGTGTTGCATGCACATGTGGCATGTGTACACCATCACTCTGTTAATCTCTTTCACATGTTTTGTTGCAGACGTACTGGATGAGGAGAGCAACGATGAGACCTATCAGATGCTAGTCTTGGTCTGCGGCAAGCTCGACCACATCAGCCACTTCGTGCGGGCACGAGAAGCTGACAAGTTCGTCCGACGCTCCCAGGTGAACCTCATGTGCGCACTTTTGTGGCACTTGGCATTCCTCTACCACATCTCTCACCCACGGGTCACCACAAGCGCGTGGTGCGAGGAGGACTTGCTTCTCCGCAAGATTCTTCTTCCACCAACACGCGATGCTGCCACTGAGCTGAAAGCTCGCCTCGACGAGAGCCACCGCTACCTATGACAACAAATCAGCCGCCTCAAGGACCAGGCGGAGCAGCAGATCAAGGCGCGCAACTCGCAGGAAGCACTCCAAGAGTGTGGCGCCTGGTTCTCCATCAATTGGATGAATGCAATGGCGCAAGCTCTCAACGAGGAGGGCTGGGCTCGCATGCGACGGCTCGAGGTGGCCATCTGCTCAACATCTCATGGCGAGTTCGTCGGCGGGCAGAGCCAGCAGCGTGCCCAATTCGATTGGTTGAGAGACTGGATCCTCTACTCGCTCTTTGTCGACCTCCCGCCCATGCGACCCCAGAACGGCGACCTCGAGATCATGGATCACCGTGAGCCAGCAGGCAGTCAAGAGACCAACAGCCTGCTCTTCTTCAAGTCCCATACAGTCCTCCAGATTGTCCACTACAAGAATGCGGCTTTCCTGGGCGAGCACGTTGTGGAGCTGCCTGAGCAGCTCCAGGCCAAGCTTCTTGCTTATCTATGTGTGGTGAGACCTGTCTATGTGCTCTTGATGGGATGTAGTATCAATGATGAGAAGGATGACTTGGAGGATAGCTCAAGCGAGGATGACGCAGATCTGGATGAGGAGGCTGAGAGCTTGCAACAACCACACCACCACCTTCTACTGCCATGAGCCACTGACCAAGACGAGCTACGAGCGGAAGTGAGTGAGTGGTGTGCTCAATCACTGTGGCTCTTTCTCAAGCCTGGGAACGTGCCTGCTCGACGCATCGGAATGCTATGGATCAACTTCGTCCACCACAACACTGGCAAGAAGACTAATTTGCGTGTGTGGCGTAAGGTCGCAGAAACAGCGTCCTCTAAGAGCAACTCACTCAACCAACAACAAATGCTGAGCGGAGCACTTCTCCACCAGCACCAAACCAGGCAAGAGTACTATGTTACTCACAACCCAACCGAGAAAAGCCAGCAGCTTCATCAAGTCTGGAATGGCCTATTGGTATGTCATAACCTCTACACCTGGTCTAAACAATGAGTAACAAGTGTGTGTGTGTAATGTAAACAGAACCAACAGCCTGTCCAGCCACTGGCTCCAGCTCCTGCTCTTGCTCCTCCTCCCAGAGTACCACAACCAACTGCATTCCAGCAACCTCAACTCACACCCTTCCAAACAACTTATCAGTATCATGAGGGTGATTGGCAGTGTGACAGATGTAAAAATGTCAACTTTGCCCAAAGGAATGAGTGTAAGCATTGTGCTAAACCTCGCTCTTAAATATAGTGTTCAGCAGTATACTTTGAGATATGTGTATGTGTAAGTTACTCATGCACAATACATTGAAAAAGTGGGACTGCAAAAGTAATAAAGTCACCAAACATAACAGTAGTTTTAAAACTAATTGCCAAAGTTTAAAAAAAATAAAGATCATAACCATTTCCAAACAAAGTCATCAAACCCAAATACACTGGTTTGCAACATAAAGTAGGGTTTAGGGTTAGGGTTTAGGGTTAGGGTTAGGGTTAGGGTTAGGGTTAGGGTTAGGGTTAGGGTTAGGGTTAGGGTTAGGGTTAGGGTTAGGGTTAGGGTTAGGGTTAGGGTTAGGGTTAGGGTTTAGGGTTTAGGGTTAGGGTTAGGGTTAGGGTTAGGGTTAGGGTTAGGGTTAGGTTAGGTTAGGTTAGGTTAGGTTAGGTAGTTAGTTAGGGTTAGGGTTAGGGTTAGGGTTAGGGTTAGGGTTAGGGTTAGGGTTAGGGTTAGGGTTAGGGTTAGGGTTACGTAATAACTTCGTATAGCATACATTATACGAAGTTATACGTCCGCGTCGTCCCTTCTTTCTCTGTACACGGTGGGAGTGCAGGATGGGGCTGCTGCCAAGGGCTATACCGACCTGTTCATGGAGGAGGAGCTCGTCCCCAGCAGCAGTGAGGATGACGAAGACAGCGTCCTGGAGGACTAGGAAATAGCGGCGCTGTTGATGGCACCCCTTAAGAATACAGGAGAGACTCACACATCACTCGAGGAGAGACCACAGCCGCGTTCTGTTTCCTTTTCTGCACCTC